ATTTTAATCGATTGAAAGTCGAAACAATCGATTAAAACAGATTGGAAGATTTTTTACAAAGGGTTTTAATTGATATAAACGTTGTCGTATCAGTTAAAACAAATCTGGAAAATAATCAAGAACGTTTTAATAGATTAAGAGAAGTTTTAACAGATTAAAACAAGACTTTTAACAGATTAAAAGATTATTTTAACAGATTAATTAAACCAGCAGATTTGAAAATCTTCTATATAAACAGAGTTGTTTAACTTTTTAAGACACATCTTTTAGCAATCAATCAAGCAATCAAAAGTGCTACTTTCAAGAGAGAATCACGCTAGTTTTTGTGAAGCTCATTAAAGTTCTTTCTTGAGGCAAATTGCATTCTTTTGGAGAAGAAACACATACTGCAGAACTGCATAAAACTGGTTTGAGCATTCTAAGTTTCTTCGTTTGTTTCTTTACTTTCTTTTATCGTATTGTGGGTGCCTGGAATTGTGGGCACTCTGGTTTTCAGTAGCTGGAATTTGGCTGCAGGATTGGTCAAGAACTGGAATTTGGTTCTTGGTGAAAGGTTAGGTGCAGGAACTGGAATTGTGGTTCTTGTGGTAGATTGAGTGTGAGATTAAGGTTGTAATCTGTAAAACATTCAATCTAGTGGAACCCAGCTAGAATTTGGCTGGAGACTGGACGTAGCCCTGGGATTGGGTGAACTAGTATAAACCCTGGTCATATCTTTCTAAACCTTTCTCTTCTTTAATTCTGTGACTGCATTTATTTTTTGATTGCTTGTTGTGTAATTCAAGAAGTGGTCAGATTTCTTAATCTTTGAAATAGATAATCTGTTAATTGCGAAAATCTTTCAAAGATCAATTCACCCCCCCCCCCCTCTTGATCTCAGCCTACATTACTAACAATTGGTATCAAGAACAAGGTTCTTGAGAATTATTCAAGTCTGTCGATCCATGGCTGGAAATAAATTTTCTGAGGGTGCTTGTATTGATAGACCTCCACTGTTTTGTGGAACAGATTATCCATTTTGGAAGATTAGGATGAAGATCTTTATTGAATCTGTTGGTATAAATGTTTGGAATATCGTTGAACAAGAAACTGATGTTTTTAACAAAGATTGGTCTAGCTTAAATGATTGTGAAAAGAAATTAATCCAAGATGATTGTATTGCCAAAAATATCATCATATCTGCACTTAACAGAAACAATTTTTTCAGGATAGCACATTGTCAAACTGCTGCACAAATGTGGAAGATCCTTGAAATGACCTATGAAGAAACAACAGAGAAATGCTTAATGGTCAACTCGGATTCGCCAATAACCAGTGTAAGTTCTGACTCAACAACTACTATGAATTATAGTTCATTACAAGATGCTTTTTATGAAATGCATGCAGTAGCTAAAAGATTAGAAACTGAAAACAAAAGATTAAAAAACATGAATAGTTTATTAGAAAACAAGATTACTATTCTTGAAAAGAAAATAGTTGATGAAGAAACCAAGAATGAAAATTTGGAAATAGGTAATAACTCTGATCTGCATGTGTAATGTTAAAGATTGCAAAAACTGTCCTGAGTTACAAGAGAAAGTAACATACTTAATAAAAACTGCATCTAAACTTGCACAAGGAAAAACTAGTCTTGATATGATACTTGATTCTCAAAAATTAGTTATTGATCGTGGTGGAATAGGTTTTACACCTTCTATTGGAAAGAAAACTAGAGCATTTAAAAACTATTTTGCTTATAATAAATCTATGTCATCTCCATTTATTAGATGTTTTTACTGCATGAAAAAAGGGCATTCTGTGAAGTATTGTAGAATTAAGAAATATGTTATTCCTAAAGGTAGAATGAAGTGGATACCCAAAAATTCATTTCAAATAACATGATTGGACCCTGTAATTAAAAAAGGGTACCAGAAACATGCTAAATCTGTTTTGCATGAACAAAATCTGGAAGTCCCTTGGTATTCAATACAGCAGAATTGGTTCTGGTTTGGTAAACTGAATGTTTTAACTGATATAAAACAGTTTTAATCGGTTAAAATTACTTACAAAGATTACCAGAAAATCTGTCAATACAGTTTTAATCGATTGAAATACGAATTAATCGATTAAAATTCTGTCAGGAATTTTAGTTTAGCTGTTTTAATCGATTAAAAGGGATTTATATCAGTTAAAACAACTAAAGGTCAAATTTAATCGATTCTTCTTCGTTTTAATCGATTAAAATTGTGTTATCATTTTCTAAATTTCTTCCAGCACAGAAACAATCGATTCTTTACTGTTGCATTTTCAAACCTAATATTAAAGATCAAATTAATAGGTTAATTTGTTGATTAATCGATTAATCTGTTCCTGAAAATCATTTTTACAACATCCAATTGGAAATTGGTCGACAAATCGAGTCAAAAATTCAAGTTTTGTGTTAATCAAAATCTGCATAGTACATTTATTGCATCTGTTGACCAAGTCAAAAATTTATCAAAAGAACAAAATAGTTGATGTACCCATCGTCCAGAAACTTGTATTATAATAAAAAAATTATATTTTTATTAATTAGGTGGGTCGTGGACTGATCCGTCCCAGTCCCATGGACTAGCCTGATGGGTTAACAAGCATTTCCAATGGGAGTTGCTACCAAGAGTTATTTAGGAATAAAAATGAATATTTTATTGTGAATATCACGTCTGAATTGCTCAAAAGTGGAGAAAGTTGTTTTGATAAATAATTCTGATCATGTTTTAAGCAACTCAACTGTGAGACCAATAATAAAATATTTAATTTTATTCTTAAATAACTCTAATTAAAAATTCTCTTTAAAAATATATTTAGTGGAACGGATAAGAGCAGACTGACGGACTAAAAATATTAACTCGTCCATCATATTACAGCGAACTGACCTGTCAATCCGTTAGATCTTACCCATTTACCATCCTAATTAAAATATATGTTAAAACATAAAAATCAACGTTAAATCTCACTTAGCTTTAGTATTGTGTTGATCATATAACGATGTTATTGGTTAAATCCATTCTACTTTATTGAAAAAGAAGTGGGTCCAGTGTCAAAACATATTAGTGTCAATTATATAATAATTCATATTATTTTATTTTTTAAAATAAAAGTGAGAGTGTGAACCTATTACTATGTTATTTGTCATCCAATTACTAATTATATTGATAACATAAATAACATCTATTTTTATTTTTGAAAAAATTATAATAATAATTAAGTTAAATAAAATTGATTAATGATTTGAATATATCGATATTAATGATAGCTATTTTGAAATATATTGAATCAAATTCTACGGAAAAAAATATAGGATATTTTTATTCTTAGAAAAAAATATTGACATACATCTTAAGATTAAGACTAGAATCTTAGAATTTTTTTAATCTTTAATTTTGGAGTGAGAATTTATGTTTTATCAACTTATAAATCTTATTAAAAATAATTTACATATATCATTTTTAAATTAACACATATTATAAAGACATAATTGTGGATTAGAATTTCAAAATAATAATTTTAATGTATTAATGATCATAACAATATTATTGCAATAACAAATTATGAATATTATAATAATAATGACGAAACTGAGTACTCCCGTTCGTTAACTTATTACTAGCGTTGGACTTCATATAATCATATGTCAACAATATCAAATTTGTATAGCTATTTTTCACTGATGTAAAGACAAGTTTATCATTGAATAATAATGGATCTTGAAATTGATTTTAATTTGGTCAAATTTATAAATAACAATTGAATATAAAAAAGTAAAAAAAATATGAAAAGGTAAAAGATTAACATTATAAATATTCAAACATATATAAATTACAAAATTTTAGAGAACTAGCAGAATATAATCTCATGAAGTATTTATGAAATATATCTTTATATGGGATGGGGAGAGAAGTTTATTATGCTGATCCTAAAGAGACATTTGTGAAGATCAAGGTTTTACAGAAGTTACATTTGGGTTTGTTATTGAATTTTGTAAGCAACAAACTTCATAATATATATATATATATGGATGGTGCTCTATCTATTATCATCTTTAAGCATACACTTATTTAATTTTAATAACAAATCAAAAAGATAGATCTTACATGAATGTTAAGATAATAATAACTTGTTAATACACATAAAAAATTAAAAAAATAGATATATGTCAGCAAAAATATATATTACGATTTAATATTTCACTACAAAAAAAATTAGTATACTATACAAAATTTTTTAATAATTATATTAACAAATTTGAAACTATTTTAATTAAATTGATTTAATAGAATGTAACTATTAAATGAGATCAATGAATACAATAATTAACAGATTTTTGGGCCGCAGGGTAGCACCGTCTTTTCAAAAGAAAATATTACTTCTATATTTATAATTTTATAGATATTTAAATTGTATGACAGTTTCAATAAAATATTATATATATGAGTTAATTTAATTTTTCTTATAAATATTAAAAAAAATATTTAATAAAAAAGTTTAAAAGAATAAGTTTTATGTTTTCTCGATTTTTATATTTATTTTTCATGTTTTGAATGCTTAATAATTATAATTATGGATTGATATATTATTTTGATCCGAAGATTATTGATGGTTGCTAATAAGAAAGAGTATTAGCAAAGTTAATCGCATATATTAGTACTATTATTGTTAACATAGTGAAGGCCATGAGAATGAAGAAGGGAGAAACTTTACTTTTTAAATTAATCGCCATTGTTGAACATGTTACCTTGCCCTTGCTCCAAATACAATAAATAGCTGGCGTAGATAGAAGTTAACATCAAATCACGTATAGATTCATTTAATTGGTGATGGTGATGCTGCTTTGACATGGTCTAAATATGACATTGCATGATTGAGATGAAAAATTAGGAAGCCAACGTGAGAAGAAAAAGATACGAATCGGAGTTCACCACTAACCGCACCTACCTACCATAACTGGGCCTGTCTCGTTAAGTTTGTTGCGTTCATTGTAGGAGCCCACAACACCAATATAAAAAGGCTATTTTTAAATCTTCTTATGGTGGGCCTGGGCCCGTTCCAGGGAACCTTCTGCTGGCTGCCATGTTTCAATGATGACGAAATGCCCTTGTCTTTTTCTAAGAGGTTTTTGCCACGTGTCGGTCTCACAAGAGTTTCGTGGAATACAAATTACCCACTCCCCAAACGCAGCTGTCTTGTGGGGCCCAGACTCCGACAAGATGTTGAATGTGGCGTGATATTGTAGATGCTAAGCCCATTTCCCACTTCCCATCCACATCTTTTATTTCATCTCCAATCTTTTATTTTCAAACTCCTTGATTTATTAATATTTTATATTTACTACAAGTGTTAATTTCACAAGCATTTGATCATCATTTGATATGAGTTCCCAACTTCAAGGGACACCCCCAAAATACTTCATTTTATTATTACTATTATTTTAACTATGAACATCTCAAACATGATACTTCAAACTTGGTGATTTTAATATATCCATTAGACTTAAAGGTGATACTATGTTGATTGAACGATATAACTGAATTTAAATCTTTTAAGGAAGATATGATATTAAAATCTTATGAACCAAAATAATAAACTTAGAGAATAAATTTTGATATAAATGATCAGATATTATCTAAAGAGTAAATTATAATAACACTTTCTAATATGTTTTTAAATTATAGTTACGTTTTCTTTTTCTTTTTCTTTTCTTTTTTTCACTATTTCAGTGATGTTCCTTACTAAAGTTTATTAAGAATTATAAATGTGATATTTTAAAAACTTAATAGAAAATGTGTAATGTAAAAAAGGTGATAATATAATACTTTTGAAAAAAAGTGTAAACTAATTAGAATCTTTATGTAGTTTGAGAAAACTTTAAAAGATTTAAATTCAAATTAGTTAAAAGTGAACAATTTTTTAAAACTGATATCGTAGTGATCCAAAAGATTTATTCATATGAATAAGTAAAATCGTTCAAAACGAAAGGTTTTAGTCATTTGACAATGAAAAACATTTTAAAAATAAAGAGAGTTCAATTTATATACTATTCATTGGCAGGTTTAAAGAACTCCAATCCCAGTATAATCTAGCAAAAAAAATAAAAAATAAACATAGATAAAATATATGACTAAATTAATCTCAAATGTGTCTTTTATATGAAAATATGTGAAATTAGATTTTAGGATAAACTAAATAAGCACAATTGGGAAAACATTTTGAGAAGAAGGTGGATTAGATTGTTAATTTTTTAAAAATACATTACAATATATCAAATATTTTGGGATTGAGAAAATTTTGATGTTAGCTACGTAGAAAAAAGAGTATAATATGCAATGTATGATTAGACCCCATAAAAATCATCACGCATAGATTAAACATATGGGTTAAAAAACTGTGCACCCAAAGATTTTTTAATGTTTCATTTTCAGCCGCACAGCCATTAGATACTACTAACACGTTCCTAGACAATTTCTATGAAGCGCTTAGATAAGGTATTTTTAACTTTTAAAAAATGATTTAATTTTTCAAATCATTTATTTTGATAAAATAATTTAAATATATTGATTTTTTATAAAATATTTTAATTATTATTAAATATAAAATTTATCATTATTAAATTAAGAATTAGGTCTAATTTATAATACTTGAATTTTATCCACACTTATGAGATGAGATCCCGATGGACAATGACATACTACATTCAATCAAGTGAGATCATGATAGACTAGATTTACAAGGTCATACTTGATTAAAATAAATATATTATGTCAAAAAAATTGAGTTAAGTTATGTTAGACTAGCTAGTTAAGATGAGTCAGGTCATGTTGAATTGTGTTGGAATGAGTAAGGTTGAATCAACACTAATCGGATCATGTCAAATCGAGTTAGGTCCAAATGAGTCATAAGTGAATAAGAAAAATTAATATTAGATAAGTTGAAGGTATTGGGTTAAGAAGACTAAAATAAATATAGTTAAGATAAGTTGAATCAAGGTGGATTAACCTACTTTGTGTAGTTTGGTCAAACTTGATCGGATTAAGTTAGGATAAGTCAGGTTGAGATGAATTGAACTGGATCAATATAAGTTGGGTCAAACCAATACAAGATTAACCAGATTGAGAGTGGTTAGATTGAGATGATTTCTTAATGGTAAAAACGTGTTAGGTTAGATTGAAATTAAAATAGGTTTGACCCATGTTAAGCTATGCTTATCTAGATCAAGTTGGATTAATACATGTTGAAACAAGTCAAAATAAATAAAAAATATCTCAAGATTGAATCAAAGAAAAAATATAAAGAGAAGAGATATAAATTAAAAAAAAATATTGAAGAATTTTAAATTTTTATTTTATTTTATATAAAATTTAAAATTATCTTATTTTAACTAATTAAAATACTCTTATCAATCCCTATAAACGTAATTACTTTTCAAATTTTGTTTCCAAATAATTAATTTTATTAATGAAACATTTCGAATACTATATTAAAATCAATTAATTTTCATAAAATTTTATCCGAATACAATGTTAAATTTTTTTCACAAATTTAAAAGATTTTTTCAATCACACCTCCAACAAAATAACCTTTTCTTAAAACCTTTTAAGCCACACTCATGATTCTACAAAGAACGAAGCCATAATCACCTTAATGTGATATGTTTACAAAATGAAGCAAAATATAATATTCTTGAACCAAGATGAAAACAACATAAGACTGGAGAGTAAATTTTATAACTTCTAGAAAATTTTAATATATTCAATTTATGGTTTAATTTTTCGTATATTTTGTTTATACGATACCATTCAATTTAGTAAAAAGATTTTTTATTCAAAATATTTCAATTATCTCTAAATATAAATATTATTATTACCTAATACTAATGACATCAATCCATAAACAATTTTTACAAATATTACAAGAAATAATCATTACAAAGTCCAATCGAAAAAATATGGTTGACATCCAATAAAAAATAGTTCCACCAACATTAATATAAAAACTGTAACTAATATTAATCGATAAATAATTCAAATTTAAATTAACGTATAAATAATCTTAATAATGTGAACTAGAAAATAACTCTTATCGACGAATACGAAGAGAGAATACGACAAAAAAAAAAAAGTTTGACAAATTTCAAATTCTTGTTTTTAATATAAAATTTTTATTTTTATAATTTTAAGTAAGCAAATTATTATCATAAATTCGTACCTTTTTTTAAAATTTCTATCCAAACAATATATTTTATTATAAAATATTTTAAAATCTTTATTAAATAATTCCTTTTATAAATTTCTCATCCAAATATATGAAAAATTGTAAATATTTTAAAATCTTATTAATAATTTTGTTTAAGTATTTTAAAATCTTACAATAATTTAGGTTTTAATTATTCTTACTTAGTTTAACTATTTGAATCTATTAAGATCTCATAATTTTAAATATGGTGACAATAGGTGAAAAATTAATGTCATGAACATATTTAATTAAAAAGGTTGTTCAACGATTAATTATGAATCATATCTAAAAGACAAAAATTTGAAGATAACACTTTATACTCAAGATGCATATGGAGAGAGAGGGTGAGAGTGATTCCTATTGGTTCGAAGATGCGATATTCAAAAGGGGCTAGAATTGTCTCAAGTGATGGTTAAGAATGGTGGACGATAGAATCTTTAAGGAGAGTAATACGCGGGATGTGATAGATGTGGAAAGAGTATACATGTTGACCTAAGATTAAATTTAGAATCAATTTGTTCACTTTAGCATTAGTAGTATAAAAAATATAAATTCAAAATAATTTTACGGAAAATTAAATAGAATTCATATAAAAAGTTAACCATTTTTTAATAATATTTAAATTTTTTTACCTAGGGTCTATTTGATATTTAACCTAGATAAAATAATTAGACTTTTTGTCTTAAATGATATAAAAAAATCATTAATTATGGAAATAGAGTTTTACCCATCTTATTTACCCAAAATAAACTTGTTTATTGTACATAGGTGAAAATTTATTTCTTAGAACTGTGTAATTTTTTTTAACGGCTTATATTTATGACTTTTAAATATATATATATATATATATATATAATATAATATAAGTAAATATTGTTATATTTATATATGATAATAATTTAATCATTATATATTAATATATTTTAAATATTTATATGCTTAGGTTTAAATATATATATATATATATATATATATATATATTTATAAATATAAAAATATTAACATAGGTTAATATATAAAATTATAAATATCTACACAATTATATTTATATATATTCATCAAATTATATATATATATATATATATATATATATATTTATATAAATATAAAAATTTAAAAATATTAACCTATGTTAATATATAAAATTATAAATATCTACACAATTATATTTATATATACTCATCAAATTATATATATATATATATATATATATATATTTATAAATATATTAATATATTAAAATTTAAATATATAAATATATCAAATACAATTATATCAATATATAAATAATTAGAATATATAAATATACAATTATTAAATAAATGTTACTATTTATAAATATATTTACATATATAAATATTTAATTATCTAAATATATAAAAATATATAATTATATAATTATATAAATATATTCATATATTAATATTTAACTATATAATATTATAAATATATATAAACATATAAATATTTAAAATATATAAATATAATAATTTTTAATTACATCAGTATATAAATATGTATATATATATATATATATATATATATATTTACATATAAACATATAAATATTTAAAATATATTAATATATAATAATTAAATTATTATCATATATAAAAATAATGATATTTACTTATATCATATATATATAAATATACGTATATATATATATATATATATATATATATATATATATATATATATATATATATATATATATATATAAGTCATAAATATAAGCTAGTGGGACAAAAAAATGGAATCTATCATTGATTACTAACCCACCTTTATTAATTTATATATTACATCATTTGATTCAATAACCAAAATCACTTTTATCATTATAGTAAAAATTTCTATAATTTATTACTAACCCACTGTTATTCATTTATTTATGAAAATCATAGTTAATAAATCACATTCCGTACCTTAAATATTATCATGTTGATTCAAAATTTCTTATCAATCCATCAAAATAAAATTAAACTTGGGTTAAGTTAAGATCTGAAAATATCAATGTCATTATTCTATAATCGATTAGAGGTACTTTAGTCACAAATTGAAGGTTAATTTTATACGTGTGGTGGGTGATTTTATAAGAATTTTGATCGTACTTTTGAACAGAATAAACACTACTTTTACAAATTTTAAATCAACGTACTTCTAATTGAATTTTTTTCACTTTGCACGGGAATAGTGAAACGAAATAGAAAACAATAAATCATGTATAGGTATACAAATGTATAAAACACTAATACGAATGGAAACGTGGTCAAAAGAGATGTTCGGAACGACGCGATGATTTTGACTTCGATTCGTGTTTTAAAAGTGTGATATAACGCTTTTAAATTGTTTAATAACCAGGTTAAATCTAAAAGCAAAGTTTTTAAAAAAAAGTTCTGAAGTTACCACCAATATTTTATCCAGAAATATTGGAAAAGAAAGAAAAAGAACACATTGATTTAAAAAAACAAACTTTGGCCGTTATAACCAGAGTTGAGTAAGAGAGTTAGTTAAGTATTAACCTCTTTATGACGTCCTTTCAGGTTTCCTATGATAGATAATTTATTTTATAAATAAAAGCTCTAAAATTACATTTTTATCCTTTTATTTATTTACAGAATTCAAAATATTGACTAGCTGACCTAACCGCTAATCCACGTACAGATGTAATGTGAGAGTTTGAAGTATGAAGTTGTGAGGGAGTGAGGTGAGAGCTTGAGGTTATGAGGGTCATTAGAGCGTGAGGTTACGAGGGTCATTAGAGCGTGAATGGTGAGAGAGTGATAATGACTTTATTTGAGTTCGGTTCATCCGTATTTTTTCAACCTAAAGTTACAAAATCTTCTAAATATTTTATTTTTGTTATTTTATTTGTTTTGCTTGATGTTTGACAAAATTTTATATCTGTGCTCCTTTAATTTTATAAATGACAAAATCTTGTAAATATTTTATTTTTATTTTTCTTGTGTTGAGCCTTGGCAAAACTTGTTATCTGTGCTCTTAAGTATATATATATATATATATATATATATATATATATATATATATATATATATATATATATATCATAGATTATTGATTAAATTTATTATAACATTTAAATATGTAATTTATAATTATTTAACTTTTTATTTTATTCATTTGTAAATGTCATTTTTATTTATAAATATCATGTTATGTTAACGTGGTATTCTTTTATGATGGAAATGATATTACATTGACCTCCTGATAATTAAATTTACATAGGATTCAGAGAAAATAAATCAGTGGATAATATAATTGTCACATGGTTAATTTTATATTTAAATTTAAATTTTAAATATTAATTTAAAATATATATATATATATATATATATATATATTACATTATATAAGATTAATTTTTTTATATTTCACATTTTTTATTTTTTTCTATTATTTACTTTTTTGTTTTTTTTTAATTTTTTAATGGAATTTATTATATTATTATCTTTCTTGTAACTTTCTTTCACAATTCCTTATTCTTTAATCATTATATTTTTCAATTTCTTCCATCAATTTAATAAATATAAAGTTAACTTTCTTTTCCTTTTATTTTTTTTAATATTTTACATCAATCTTAATAATATCTAATATTATTTTTATTTTTTAATTTATCTTTATTAAATTTTATTATATCATATTTTTTAAATTTTATTATTTATATATATTAATTATCAAAATTTATCTTATTAAAAAGAATTAATAATTAAAATTTTTATTAGGATAAAAAAATTAATAATTAATTTTTTATTATTTTATACTAATTAAATAAAATTAATTTATTAAATAATTTCTTATAAATTATATATTTTATATTATTATGACAACTTACAAAATAATAAATTTATACATATAATAATAAAAAAGTTTGAGTACAACATTAAAATAATAATATAATAAGTATTTGATATTCATACAAAATAATTAAATATTTTATATATATATATATATATATATATATATATTTTAATATAAATATAATAAATTAAAATATGTATTTAATTAATAATAATTAAAAAATTATAAATATCTATATATAAAAATAATACATAAAATATTAAAAATAATTTATTAAAATATAATTATTTTTTATAAATAATGTAGAACGGATGAGTTGGACGAAAAAACTCAAAATTTAATAGAAATGAAATAAAATAAAGATGAATACTTATTTTCTAAGCTTAAAAAAAATAAAAATAAAGAAAAAAATAATTAAAATGGTTGTGTTTAGGACGGGGAAGACAACACCCATCCTACCTTATTACCATGGGCATGCCTGTGTATATATCATAAATTGTCCATTCATTTTAGTCTTACATTTAAATAAATAATTTTTAAATTTAAATTTTATTCATTTATAAATGTAATTTTTTATTTTTATAAATATAATGTTATCTTTTAATATAATGAGAATAGTATTATATTGATAATTTTGATAGAAGAGTAGACGAAGACATTATTACTACTAGAGTTAGTAGAGAAGAGTAATGACTATGATTAAAAAAAATGTCAATAAATAAATAAAAAAATTAGTTAAATTAACCTTAATGAAATATTTTGTTTTTACTATTTAGGAATATTTAGAATTAAACTAATTTAAAAATAAATTTATAAAAAACGATAAAAATTTAAAATAAATCAAAATTGTTTTTTCTTTAATTTTGGATTATTATTTTTTAACATTAATTGATTTATGCAATTTTTATTTGACAAGAACTAATAGAAAATCAAAATTATATTATATACTATTAAAATAAAAATATAAATTAACATTTTGTAATATGCTTTATTTAAAAGAAGAAAATAAAAAAAAGGAAGAGAGAGAAAACCAATTTCCCTTCTCTTTTGTAAAAAAAAAGAAGAAGAAAATCTCTCCTCCCTCTCCATAGCTCACCTCCACCTTCTCTCCTCTAGATGACTTTTTTCTTCCCCGACCACGAATCCGAGACTGTCGTTGTACTCACGGCGGAGAACAGCAGAAGACCCACCGATTAAAATTTTGTTTCGGTAAGTTTGAATTTTAGGGTTTTTGCGAGTTAAAATTTGGGGTTTTAAGAATTTAAGGAATTAATTGTGGAATTAAAGGTTTTCCTCTTACTCTATCACTCCCCAATTTCATGTTCTCGGGGCTAATTCCGTTTCTTGATTCAATTTCATTTTTAGGATTTTCCAAATTGGGGGAGAACGTACCTCTTAGGTGTTTAGGTGTTTCTAAGGCTTTGTTGGAGTTAGGTTGACGTGTAGCATCACCCACGGTAAAGCAGACTTCTTTGTTTTTTTTTTTTACTTGTGTTAAAACTTTAGGTTTTGTTAATCCTTGCATTGATGGTGAGTGGGGATTTTAGAATTGGAAATAAACCATGAACTTTAGTTGTTTTAGATATAAATTAAGAGT